CTGTAAATCAGCACTAAATGTGTCGGTACAGCTCCGACTGCAGCACCTACATGATTATATAGAAAGATTATATAGAACTAAGTACGCTAGATATAAGCACTAAGTACTATTATATAAACTAGATATATGTAAGCAGTAAGTTATACTCAGGCACTAATTCTATAAACTAATATATGATTACATATAAAAGATTGTATAAAGGAAATAGCTGAGTAACAACACTGTAAAGTAAGGTATTCTTCAGGCACTGATTGTGCCTGGGGTCTGGACAGTCCTTCCTCGGTGCCCATGGGGTGTTACCCACAAAGTGTACCAGATTCCAGGCACTGTTCAGCATAGTACCAGCTGTTCTGGGCCATGCTATAAGACACGAAGAAAAGGTAAAGGCATAAGGATAGTTGCATAGAAAATAAAAAATACTCAACATATCAACTGATAGACATGATCAAATAAATCATGACATTTGCCTGATTGGTTAAAAACTACAAAATCAACAGTGCCCCTCTGCACAAGCCTAATCCACAGGAAACATAATGCAGACACTTTGGCCTCTGGCCATGGTGGATTAACTGGTATTGGACCAGCCCCACCACTGCAAACAACTAGAAAATTGGAGAAAACATATGAAACAACTCTTTGCATATATGGGACAAGAGGCAGCCCAGGACTGAGATTTTGAGAGAAGAGAAATGGGAGGCAAGTCCTCTGACTACCCTGGCTTTCTGCCTGCAGATACTTTCTGAACGGCGGCACGGAAGTGGGGGAAGCCAAGCAGAACACCGTGCTCGCTCTGAGTCCGTGAATTAAGAGGGAGAATTAAGAGGCTGGAATTTGTGAGACGGCGCACCAGAGAGAAAGAAGTGAACTACTCAAGGAAAGAACTCCAAAAGCCTGCACAGGGCTCCCTTTGAGTCTCTGGCTGAAAACAGCTGTGCATAAGATGAAACGAACTCTCTGAAACTGGGCAAAGGATAACTATTGAGTGCCTGTCAGCTGAACAGGTCTCAGAGTTCACACAGAGCTGGCGTGGGTTCAAGCTCTGATAAGCTAAAGTAGAGTGACTTCATTGGACACCCGGGGCATTCAGGAGCAACCCCAAAAAGGTCACTAACAGCTACTCGAGACCTGCTCTAAGAAAGTTCAAAACAAGTCTTGAAAGGATCAGGTTTATCAAGTAAGTAAATTCAGTGCTTGCCAGAGGAAGGCCTACCACTGTTTAACAGAAAATTAAAAATTCAGACGCTCAACAGTTGAAACTCACAATGTCCAGTATCTAAGGAAGTATTACTGGACATGTGACAAAGCAGAAAAATGGGATCCCAACCAGGAGTAAAATTAGTAAACTGAAAGAGACCAAGAAATGACAGAGATAAAATTAGCAAGCAAGGAATTTTAAATGCCTGTCAGTTCACATGTACCCCAAAACCTAAAATGCAATAAAAAATAAAAATAAAATTAAAAAGATAAATGCCTGTCAGAAAATGCTCAAATATGGCCAGGTGCGGTGGCTCACACCTGTAATCCCAGCACTTTGGAAGGCCAAGACAGGTGGATTATGAGGTCAGGAGTTCAAGACCAGCCTGACCAGTATGGTGAAACCCCCTCTCTACTAAAAATACAAAAATTAGCTGGGCATGGTGGTGCATGCCTGGAATCCCAGCTACTCAGGAGGTTGAGGCAGAGAATTGCTTGAATCCAGGAGGCGGAATTTGCAGTGAGCCAAGATCGCCACTGCACTCCAGCCTGGGCAACAGAATGAGACTCGGTCTAAAAAGAAAAGAAAAGAAAATGCTCAACACTTCAAAGAAAACATAAATACAATGAAAAGAAAAATCTGATGAGAACCAAATGCAACCTCTGGAGCTGAAAACATGGTGTGAAACAAAAAAATTTAACGGAATGGGATTAAGAACAAGATTAGACACTGCAGAAGAAAAGATCAAACAACTTGAAAGCATGGCAATAGAAGCTATTTAAAATGAAGCATAGATTTTTTAAAAACCCAGAGCTTTAGTAATCTGTGAGACAATATCAAGCAATATAACATGTGTCTAATACAAATTCCAAGAAAGGGGACAGAAAATATTTAAAGAAAATGGCCCAAATTTTCCAGACTCATAATGAAATTATAAAATAAAAATTATCAACCCTCAGATCCAAGCACCTCAATGAATATAATGAACACCAAAAAAAAAAAACTATACAAAAGATTATCATATCTACACTTTAAAAAAATCAATTAGATAAAAAGAAGACTTAAAAACAGCCAGAGATGGCCAGGCACAGTGGTTCATGCCTCTAATCCCAGCACTTTGGGAGGGTGAGGTAGGTGTATTGCTTGAGCTCATGAGTTTCAGACCAGCCTGGGCAACATGGCAAAATCCCATCTCTACAAAAAATACAAAAATTATACAGGCACGGTGGCATGCACCTGTAGTCCCAGCTACTTGGGAGGCTGAGGAAGATGGCTTGAGCCCAAGCGATGAAGATTGCAGTGAGTTGAAATCATGCCACTGCATTCCAGGCTAGGTGACAAAACCAGACCCTATCTCAAAGAAAACAAAGAAAAAAAGGAGAGAGAGAGAGAGAGAAAAAAAGGATGATTATTACAAACTCCTTTTCAGAAGTTATGCAAGACAAAAGACCATAGAATGGCATCTTTAACATTTTAAAAGAAAAATTTTAAATGGGCTTTAACAAAAGTAAAAACTTGTGTGTCTCAAAGGACACCATCAAGAAAGTGAAAAGGCAACCTACAGAGTGGGAGAAAATACTTGCAAATTATATCTTATAAGAGTCTAATGCATACAATTTTTATTTTTAAAAAACATTAACAGTTCAACAATAAAAAGACAAATAATCAAATTTTAAAGGAGAAAATGATCATAATAGATATTACCTCAAAGATATACAAATGACTGATAAGCATGTGAAAAAATGTTCAACATCATTAGTCATTAGGAAAATGCAAATCAAAACCACAATGAGATACCAATTCACACACCCACTAGGATGGCTATAATAAAAAAAAAAATGACACCATGTGTTAATAGGAACTTAATAAATCAACAGAGAAAGGATAGACTGTTTAGCAGACAGTGTTAGGAAATCTGACCCATAATATGGAGGACAAATCGAGCTCATAAAAAATAGATTCCAATTAGATCCAAGAACCAAAATCTGAATGGGAGAAACTATAAAAGTAATAGAAGAAAATATAAAAGACTACATTTTTTATCCAGGGAGAAGAATACTTTCAGATCTAAAAGGCACAAAATTTCAGAGGACAAAATTCTGAGGAGTTGGCTACACCAAAAGTTAGAATGTCTTCCAACTAAAGTTCACAATAGATAAAATTGCCATAAAAAACAGGGAGTTCTCAAAAAAAAAATCTGCAACGTCTAAACCCTGCAAGGCATTAATAACTAGAAATACAAACAATTCCTGCAAATCAGGAAGGAAAAGAAAGGAAAATTGAAAAATGGGCAACAGGTATGAACAAGCAATTTGACAAAGAGGAACTACAAACAGCCAACAGATATATGAATTGATGCTCAAACTTACTGTAATCAGAGAACTGCAAGTAAAACACCTACAGTATATCACTTTACAACCATCAGATTGGCAAAAGTTAGAAAAACAAATAACACCAAGTGTCGGTGATATGAACATTCATGGGAAAACATGAACATTCCTATTCTGCTGGTAGCGGTGAAACCTGAAGCAGCCATTCAGAAAAAGAATTACCAGGCATCATTTAGTGAAACTAACTGTGCATGTGTTCTATGACCCAGAAATCCTCCTCCCAGAATATATCCCAGAAAAATCCTGAGTCAAGTCCAGTGGGTACATGCATGAGGATGTTTAACACAGTGTTTTGATGATAATGGGAATTTTGAAGCAAGCTGGGGATCCACAGGAAGGGATAACAGATCAATGTGCATGATATTTTAAACCACAACTTTTACATACAGCCACCTGGATATATTTATTTTTCGCCAAGTGAAAAATAAAAAACCCATCATTAATTCAAAATCACAACATCTATGTTAATTTAAAACACAGTGGGCAAGCACTCCATTATGAAAGATATTGAGGTGTCAAAGGACTTGTGTGGGACAGGTTGGAACCGGTGCAGGTGGTGGGAGGGAAAAGGCAGCTAAGATGGAATGGGGTGGGAACCTTGAATAAATGGAGGTTTTTAATGGACTGAGGCTCACGGTGTGTCTTAAACAAAGGCCTATAGTTAACTCTACTCTTTGCCCCTGAGGTCTAACTTTTTTTTTTAAAGACAGGGTCTTGCTCTGTCTTCCAGGCTGGAGTGCAGTGGTGGCACCCCATGGCTCACTACGACCTCAATGTGTCAAGTTCAAGTGATCCCCCCGCCTCAGCCTCCCAAGTAGCTGGGACCACAGGTGTGTGCCACCATGCCCAGCTAATTTTAGAAAAAACTGTAGAGATTGGATCTTGATATATTGCCCAGGCTGGTCTCAAACTCCTGGCTTCAAGCAAGCCTCCCAAAGTGGCTGGGGTTATAGGCATGCAGCACCACACCCAGCCCCAAGGTCTAATTTTTTTTTTTAGTTAACCCACAGGATTTGACCATTACAGGAGGGGAAAAATGATATTAAATGCTTCTATCAAATACTTTTTCTACATCTATTGATGATAATGCTTTTTCTATAATAGATGTAGAAAAAGCATTTGATGAAAGTCAATACCTCTCCATGATTTAAAAAACAATTCAAATCAAGATAGAAGAGAAGTTTTTAACCTGATAAAGGGCGTTGTTAACAACTTTGTAGCTATAAAGTGACCCTGGCGGCAGATTTGGGCTGAGTGAGTCACAGGAGTGGAGAGAGGTTAAGCCTCCCAGTAGTGGTCTCTCACATGAAGAATCTACAGGGAGAGCTCCGAAGCTGGAAATTTGAGGGGCTCCCAGGGATCCCCGATGGTCCCAGCAACACAGAATTTCACACTGATGCATCTTCCTCTCGTAGGGATGAACCAGACTTTGAACAGCAGCAGGACTGTGGAGCTGGCCCTAAACCAATTCCAAGGGGGCGTGGCATACACGGTATACCTGGTGGCGAGCTCCCTGGCCATGTTCATCTGCCTGTGTGGGATGGCAGGCAACGGCATGGTGATCTGGCTGCTGGGCTTTCGCATGCGCAGGACCCCCTTCTACATCTATATCCTCAACCTGGCGGCAGCCGACCTCCTCTTCCTCTTCTGCATGGCTTCCATGCTCAGCCTGGAATCCCAGCCCTTGACCAATACCGTCAACAAGGTCCACGAGCTGATGAAGAGGCTCAAGTTCTTTGGCTACACCGCGGGCCTGAGCCTGCTGACGGCCATCAGCACCCAGCGCTGTCTCTCCGTCCTCTTCCCCATCTGGTTCAAGTGTCACAGGCCCCAGCACCTGTCGGCCTGGGTGTGCACCCTGCTCTGGGTGCTGTGTCTCCTGATGAACGGGGTGACCTCTTCCTTCTGCAGCAAGTTCTTGCTATTCAATGAACAGTGGTGCTTCAGGATGGACGTGGCCCAGGCCTCCCTCATCATAGGGGTCTTGACGCCCCTGATGACTCTGTCCAGCCTGACCCTCTACGTCCGGGTACGTAGGAGCTCCCGGCAGTGGCGGCGGCAGCCCACTCGGCTGTTTGTGGTGACCCTGACCTCTGTCCTGGTGTTCCTCGTCTGCTCCCTACCCCTGGGCATCTACTGGTTTCTGCTGTTCTGGTTGCAGCTGCCACCCAAGATGATGTTCCTGAGCTTTGGCTTGTCGCGCCTCTCCTCGTCCGTGAGCAGCAGCGCCAACCCCGTCATCTACTTCCTGGTGGGCAGCCGGAGGAGCCACAGGCTGCAGGGGTCCCTGGGGGCTGTGCTCCAGCGGGCACTTAGAGAGGAGCCTGAGCTGGAGAGTGAATAGATGCCCACCACAGCCACCAACGAGATGGCCAGGCTTGAGAGCCATCCACGGGTGCTTCCCATCTGTGCCAGCCCGTGCCCTGGAGATTCCTGAGCCCTGAGCTGCCTCCCACTCCGTCCTTGCCAAGTGCCGGGCCGGCCTGCCTGGGGGAGCCCCCACGAGTCTGCAGCTGCATGTGGGGTCACTTCCCTGCCTGTCCGAGCTCCCCACACCACCTGTGTCCTGGATCTCACCACGAGACCCTGCTGGTAGTTAAGATGCCATTCGTTTGTAGCAGGTCATCTGGCTGCGGGGAAATGTTAGGTTTCAGCCCTAGGCTGCTTTCAGCTGGTCATCTGTGGGTGGGTAACAGGCGTCTCCTTTGAATAGGAAAGCTCTTCCTGCCAACCACCTTCTCTGCCTAAAACGGCACCTTCGTCTAGGTGGCGGGTGACCTCAGGTGACCTTGTGGCCCTATGCTGGTCCTTGGGTGGCACCAACTGGCCACCAAGATGGTGCCCCCGTACCCCTTTTCCCAGGTGTGCCTGCAGTCTCCAAGTAAACGGTGCCGCTGTCACTGGCCCAGACCTTGGTGGCCGTGGGCATTGAGACTCTGTCCCACTGTCCCTCTGAGCCCTGGCCAGCCCTTGACCCCTGGCGTTTGCTATAAGGTTGCCTTGCCTTGTCACCCCTGGCATCCAGGGCAGGGCTGTTCACTTTCCTCCAGGCTGCACTGGGAAGGGGAGAGACTCGGTCTGGTTTCACTGGCGGACGCTGATGGGACAGTGCCCCAGGCGGTGGAGGGCAGCCCGCCAGGTAGTGTCCCCCAGAGCCAGTCTTGTACCTGACTGGCTGCCCCTCCCAGGGCACCCTCACATTGCCCAAAAGCCCAAAGAGGGAACATCCAGGACCCACATCAGCCGGTTCCACTCTCCTCCCTCCCTCTTTCCTTCCCACCATCCCCTGGGCCAGAACAAAGCACGGACATTTCTAGCACTCCACACATCACAGCCCTTTCCTCCCACCCAGCATCCAGCCTCCAGGCTCAGGGCTTGTGTGGAGGGGGTGCACGACAGAAGGTCCCTGCAGAGCCAAGAGGTGGGGGAGGAGGAGGAAAGACAGGAAGTGGAGAGATCCTGTCTGCGGAGCGTGGCCCGGCCTGCAAGGCTGGCATTTGGCTGCGAACTCGTTTTCCAGGTCAGAAGCGGAAAATCATCTTGCTCTTTCTCTTGGAGTCTTTCCGAAGCAATTCTCAGTCTCCTCCCAAAAGATGGGGGCTTCGAGCCAGCCAGGGCACAGGTCAGATCCTGAGACAGGAGAAGACAGCTCATCAGTAAGCTGTGAAACACACCCCTGGAATCAACTCCCACAGCCTGCGGTTCTGTACCATGGCGGGCGATGGCATTCCTGGGGACGCGGAGACTGTACATCTGGACAGGACTCCCCTTCCTGGGCTCTCCCCGGGTGTTCATTGCCCTGGGCTGGGGGCTATGCAGCCCTCCCAGAAGGAGAAACGACCTCTGAGTGCTTTCTTTTCCTGGGTCACCCACTTTCCCATCCAGGGCTCAGACCCCCAGGTCTGTGTGTCCCAGAGAGGCATGCGAGGCAGGGGGGCAGCCGTTTATCAGTCATTCCGGCATCTAGCAGGGCGCTGGGTACCAGCACTGGCCTTGTATACCAGACATCCTTAATAAGTACTCATGTGGCCGGTAAGAGTAACTGATACCTGTACAGTGTTTTATAGCCCTAGAGCTCAAGGGGTCCATGTTTTGTCCCCTTGAGGATCTAACCCTTCTCTTCTGACTACAAACCCCATGCTCATGACCCTTCTCCAACCTGGGCAGCAGCAAAGCGGCCCAGTCTAAAGCCGGCAGTTGGTACGAGGACTATCTCCTTCCTTAGCAGTCAGCGGCTACCACAGCACACCTCATTTACAAGGGAAGGAGCCCTAGAAATTGTTCACACAATTTATGTTCTGATTAAACCTACAAAGTGGGCCGGGCACAGTGGCTCACACCTGTAAGCCCAGCACTTTGGGAGGCCGAGGCAGGCCGATCATGAGGTCAGGAGTTCGAGACCATCCTGACCAACATGATGAATCCTCATCTCGACTAAAATACAAAAAAAAAAAAAAAAAATTAGCCTGGCATGGTGGTGCACGCCTGTAGTCCCAGCTACTCGGGAGGCTGAGGCAGGAGAATCGCTTGAACTTGGGTGGCAGAGGTTGCAGTGAGCTGAGCTTGTGCCTCTGCACCCCAGCCTGGAGACAGAGCAAGACTCCGTCACCAAAACAACAACAAAAAACTTAAAAAATTATACGTCTGTTACACCTCCAACTCCAGCTCCTCCATCACACTCCACTTTAGGTGAGGTAGCACTGATGTCCCTACAGGTATTTGGGGGAATGGGGCCGAGTGGAAGAGGAGTTAGGAGGTCCCTGCAGTTTGGGCTTAGTGAGGTCCATTTATGCGGTTTCTGATCACTTCTGTGTGCGGTTAGACAATTGCCAGCGTCTGAGGGTAGGACTGGCCCCCAGGAATGCTCCCACCGCCTGCTGTGCCAGCTCCTGGGCATCGTGGAAAGCACTGCATGAAAAAATGAACAGACAAAGGAAGTATGCGGGAGAATGGGCAACAGAGAAGAAATAAGATCTCAACTGTACAGAATTGGGGCGGGCACAGTGGCTCACGCCTGCAAAATCCCAGCACTTTGGGAGGCCGAGGCAGGCGCATCACGAGGTCAGGAGATCAAGACCAGCCTGGCCAACATGATGAAATCCTATCTCTACTAAAAATACAAAAAAATTAGGCAGGTGTAGTGGTGCACGCCTGTAGTCCCAGCTACTTGGGAGGCTGAGGCAAGAGAGTAGCTTGAACCCGGGAGGCAGAGGTTGCAGTGAGCTGAGATCGCGCCACTGCACTCCAGTCTGGGTGATGGAAAAAGACTCCATCTCAAAAAAAAAAAAGAAATGTACAGAATCAGAAACTAGCTTAAAGAAAAATCCTCCGATCCCCAGATGGACAACTTCAAGTTGGGGGTTCTGTTCTCTCGGGTGCAGGCTCAGAACAGGTCTCAGCTGTTAGCGAGATGCTTGCTCATGCAGCGTGTGAAATCAGAACACGTACCACACCTCTTTTCTCTGAGAAACGTGCAACGTGCCATTTTTATCAGACACGCAGTTTTTGTATCCAAAATGCGACAGCAGGAATACAAATGGGAAAAATGTCTCTGTGTGAAGTTGCATGCTTTATGTATCCAGCTATCAATCACTTAAAATAAATCCAATCAATGAGGAAAAGCACAATTATCTCTTTTCTCCATAGAAAATATACAAAATTGACCTATGAAGAACCAAGCAACAGTATTCAGCCAAAAATGTAGGACAAATATTAGAAAGGTTAGTTAAGCAGGTAATTATTAAAAACATTAAAGGGCTTTTATATTTTATGAGGTTTGTGTTATCTGTCACCTTGCGTCAAAACAATGTTTCATTTACTTTCTCATTCTAAATAATTATTCATTTTCATACCTAATTTTGTACTTGTAACTTTCCTTCCTTCTTTCCTTTCCCCTTTAAAAAGGCCCCAAATCCTGTATAAATTTCACGGCCCACAAACTCTGGATCCAGCCAGGAGCAGCCAGGCCTCTGGCCACACGAGAGTACTGGAGATCTCCTTGTGAATAACCACAGCACTCCAGTAGCAGAGTCCACACTGAGAGTTCAACCCTTTGCTGAAACAAGTTTTCTTGTTGAGTCTCGATTTCCCCAATCCCACCCCAAGGTTCAGCCATGTGGGGTCCCAGGTAGGAACCAGACGTGAGGGAGGATGGGGGTCCTCCCACCCACTCACTGATGGGGACAGGGCCTGGCTCTGGGAGTGAGGAGACGGGGGCTCCCCTCTGCCTTCTGGGTTCCCTAAGGCCAGGCATTCCCCTTGGCAGTCTCTCCTTCCCCAGCTGTGTAATGGGAAAAATCAACCCCACCCTGCCCTCTTTCTGAGGCCCCTGTGGGCTGCCACAGGGCACTGGATCAAGAACACATGTTCTAAACCATCAAAAGTGATTCCAGAAAGGAATGCCTGACAAGGACAGCGTGATCAGCCCAACAAACACAGCTTGGTTTGGTTTGGAAATAGGTGGCTTCCAGATGGCTTGTTTGTAAGAGATGAGCACCACATGCATGAGTTCTGCAGACCCCGGCGTCGAGAGGCAGGTGGCACCGAGTTCTTTCTTTTCTGTCATGGAACTCTCCCTTTCTATCATGGAACCCTGCCTTTCCATCATGGAACCCTGCCTTTCCATCATGGAACCCTGCCTTTCCATCATGGAACCCTGCCTTTCCATCATGGAACCCTGCCTTTCCATCATGGAACCCTGCCTTTCCATCATGGAACCCTGCCTTTCCATCATGGAACCCTGCCTTTCCATCATGGAACCCTGCCTTTCCATCATGGAACCCTGCCTTTCCATCATGGAACCCTGCCTTTCCATCATGGAACCCTGCCTTTCCATCATGGAACCCTGCCTTTCCATCATGGAACCCTGCCTTTCCATCATGGAACCCTGCCTTTCCATCATGGAACCCTGCCTTTCCATCATGGAACTCTTCCTTTCCATCATGGAACCCTGCCTTTCCATCATGGAACCCTGCCTTTCCATCATGGAACCCTTCCTTTCCATCATGGAACCCTTCCTTTCTCTGGAGCCCTCAGTTGGACTCTTGGCAGACATTTGGGTGTAGTCAGTCCAGCGAGGGCCCAGTCAACTCCAGGCTCCCCACTCCTCAGCCCAGGAGTTGCCTCTCAGTTGTGGCCTCCCACAGACTGGGCATAATCCCCCATCCTTGTCATCTACTTCCTGTGGCATCCTTTGTCAGGTCACCTGATTTTTGCTTCCAGAGTCCCAAATTTATCTGCAGCCTCCATCACCTCCACTGGCTAATTGCCATAAGAAAGAGTTCTCAAATCTCATGGCTTAGCATAATGAAAATTTTCTTGCTCATGCCATAGACCGATGGGAGGCTCTGCTCCCTTCTGTCACTCAGAGACCCAGGCTCCTGATGACATAGGACAGGCGAGCCCCCAAACTGGGGCTTAGCCAGGAGGGTTCTTGGCTTTGCCCAGGAAGAAATTCAAGGGTGCACCGGTGTTGGGATTCACTTAGGGTGGCTGGAAAAATATTAAGGGAAATCCTAGGGGAAGGTTATAAGATGATAGTCTCTAACCTTTTGGAAGGCTGAATGGTTTTTATTAACTTACGGAACAGGCTGAAGGCAGCCAGTTCTTACTAGAGCATTAGGTCCTAAGGTGA